GAGAAATGCCACAGCTCAGCCACCAGTGAGAAACGCTGCAGCTCAGCCACCAATGAGAAAGGCTGCAGCTCAGCCAATGAGAAATGCCACAGCTCAGCCAATGAGAAACACTGCAGCTCAGCCAATGAGAAACAGTGCTGCTCAGCCAATGAGAAACACTGCAGCTCAGCCAATGAGAAGGCATTGCTGCCCTGAACTGTTACTTTCCCCCAATGAACTTTCTTTAGAACAACCCCGCCCTACTCCCCCTTTTCTCTATAAAAGCAGCTCCCCTCCTTTGTTTGCTGGATTTGCCTATGGTTTGCCACAGCCTGCACATGCTGCATTGCAATTATTTTGGCTATTCCCAAATAAACTCATTTTGAGATAAAATAACAGGCAAATTTGCTTTTTAGGTTGATTTGACCTACAAGACAGTCCATAATCAAGCCGGTTGCCTTTTCATTCCCTGCCAGCCATGCCAGCCATACTGTTCTCTTTCTGTTCCTCCTCCTCCATCTTCCTTCTAGTGCCTTAAGGCTGTTTGATTGTTTTTTTTTTAAACATTTTGTTTTGAAATAATTTTAGACTTACAGAAAAGTGGCAGAAACATAAGTTGCAGAAAGTACAGAGCTTCCCTATACCCTTCACCCAGCTTTCCCTAATAGTAACATTTTACATAACCTGGTATGATGATCAAAACCGGGAAAATAATATGGACACAATATTAGCAATGAATCTACAGATCTTGTTTGAGATCCACCAGTTTTTCCATGAAGGTCCTGTTTCTGCTCCAGGATCCTATCCAGGACCACTCATTGCATTTCATCATCACACTCCCTAGCATCCTCCATCCTGGGGTTGTTCCTCAGTCCTTCCTTGTCTTCCACGACCTTGACACTTAAGAAGAACTATGGCCAGGGATTTTGTAGACTGTCCCTCAATTTGGATCTGTTTGATGTTGGCTTGTGATTAGACTGGGGCTGTGCATCTCTGCCCAGAATTCCACGGGGGTGATGTTGCATCCTCCCCAGCCCAGGGTATCAGGAGGCACACAAGGTGGGTGTGTCTCATCACCAGTGATGTTAACCTTGATCCCGTGGTTACCACAGTGTCTGCCAGATTTTCCCCACTGGAAAGTTACTTTTTTACTTTTCAAATTAGTAAGTGTCTTGGGAGAGTTGCTTTGACACTATGCAAATATCTTGTTTCTCCTTAAATGTTCACCCACGAATTCTAGCATCCTTAGATTGATCTTCTCAGCCATTTGATTTTATCTCCTCCTTGTCTCATTTCACTCGTGGGCTCGTCGCTGTTTGAAATATTCTTGTTCATTTGTTTTTTTTGTTTGTTTGTTTTAATTTTTTGTTTATTGCAGTAACATTGGTTTATAACAAAGATTCATCCTTGTTTTGTTTTTTTAATTTTATTTATTTATTTTTCCCCCAAAGCCCCAGTAGATAGTTGTATGTCACAGCTGCACATCCTTCTAGTTGCTGTATGTGGGACGCGGCCTCAGCATGGCGGGAGAAGCGGTGCGTCGGTGCGCGCCCAGGATCCGAACCCGGGCCGCCAGCAGCAGAGCGCGCGCCCTTAACTGCTAAGCCACAGGGCCGGCCCTATTCTTGTTCATTTGTTTGAAAGTTTTCCTCCATCGTTGGACAGAGCCCCGGGAGGGTGGGGACTGGGTCAGTCCTGGTCATGTCTGTGTCCCCAGTGCCCAGCCCAGGGCCTGGCACACAGTAGGTGCTTAGCAAGTATTTGATGAGCAAATAAACAAAGGAAATGAGACCAATCAACAAATCCCAGGTGCTCAGGAAGTATGATTTGGTGGCACCCCAAGAATGTTCTAGAAGCAAAGGTCTTCCCTTACTTCAGGCTTCCATTCAAATGTCCCCACCTTGAGGAGACTTTCCTCGAGCACTCCAACTAGTGTTGCCCCTCTCTTAACCACAATGCCTGCTTCATTTCCTTCACAGCGCTTTGCGTCCTGAAATTATTTTGTTTGATGGTTAGTTTCTTCATTTAGTTAATTAGTTTATGTGCTGTCTCCCCTCCTCTCAGATAGAATATCATCTCTAAAGGGTTCAGGGTTTTGTCCTGGTCACTACTGTATCCCCAGTGCCTAGCACATTGTCTTGTGCAGACAGATCCCTCTCCCCAGCGATATTTTCTGTCCCCAAAAGTCTAATTATTCCAGCATAAAACCCGGGACTTTGGAGCAAGAAAGGCAGGAAGACAAATGAAGCTGCCTGACCTTGGACAGCAAGCCTGTTCATTTGCAGCTGGCTGCCTGGCCCGGGGTGGTGGCCAGGCTGGGACAAAGCCAGAGGGGCAGGAGGCTTGGGGAGCCTGGAGTGGAGAAGGTGGTCCAGACTCTTCTTAGCTGTGGCTCTTGGGCAGGGAATTGTCCCCTCTCCGCATGCCGCTTCCTCCTGGGAGGAATGAGGAAAAGCAGTCTCAAGTTCAAAGGATGATGGGAAGGTCCGTGGGCAATTGTGCTCAGAAAGTGTTTGTTGACTGCACTGATCACCATTGTTTTACTGATGCGGAAGCTGAGATGCTGGGATGAGAAGTGAGGGCCATACTGGGCCTTAAGCACAGCTCTCCCCTCACACCACCTTAGGCTTGTCTGGGTCCACAAACATGCATCTTTGGCCCTCGAGCTGACAAAATCCACTGCACATCTACTGTGGACCAGGCGTAGGGCTGGGGAATGGGGAGAGAGAGAGAGACAGAGAGAGAAAGACAGAGACAGAGACCAACAGAGATAAATACAGCCCTGGGGAGAAAGACAGAGACACACACAGAAAGAAACATGAAGGATTAAGTTAAGAGAAAGAAAAAAGGAGACAGGGACAAAGGGACAGAGACAGAGAAAGACATACGTAGAGAGACAGGGGCAGACAGAGACAACAGAGAAAGAACAAGACAGAGACACATAACAGAGTCGGATAGTAACAGAGATATTGAGACAGAGACATAGAAAGACTAAGACAGAAAGTGAGAGAGAGAGAGAGGAACAGAGACA